ATAATTTGACTATGGTCATTGTTGAACTTTTCCGAGAATACTGTTGTATGCATAGCGATATTGCGAAAACGACGTACTGTGAAAGCAGCACGGCCGTTTTAAAGGCCATGTAGTGGTCGATGAAATACGGAAAGGAAGAGCAACAGCTTAAGGAAATGCTAACTCAGTTAAGTTCTGGCTACGGCGAACGAAATACCTGTCGAGGACGTCGAATACAATAGAGGCAGACGTTGATTTGTAATTCCACATTAACTTTGCGGCTTTCAAGCAGACGAAAGCAGCGCAGCCGAAAACCAGCACACCGGACGCGCGGATTTCAAAGCAGTATATTCGAGTGATTTTCATAAAAAGTTGTGATAAAAGTGGTTGCGAGAAAATAAAAAAAATGTAAAACGCTAGTAACCACTGCAAAACTAGAGTGTGAACTGGTAAGGAAACGCTCGATAAAGCGGTTTAAGGAACGAATTCAGCTAGTTTGGAGGGGAAAGAAACAAAACGGCCTGAACGTGTGTGTCTGGAATCAATGGTTGAGCGAGTACACGAAGGTTCTGATGCATCGGTTGGTGACTAACAGGGGCAACAAGCTGAAATCAGTCACGGTAACTTTGTCTGGACGTTCAACAACTGGCTCAACATAGGCAGATTTAAGGCGGTCAATACTCACGGATCCCTTCGATCCATTCTTTTTCAGGTTGAAATATTTGGGCTTTCGTGACAACACCTTGAAAGGGCCCTCGTAGGGAGGTGTTAACAGCTTTCGAACCGCATCGATGCGAATGAAAACAAACGGACGAGCGCGCAAATCCGAATGAATTTGTTTGCGGACAATGATTCGAGGAGAAGTCGGTCGAAGGCTCGAAAGTGCTGCTTAAGGCGTTCAGCGTAAGAAACAGGATCCAATTCTCCAGTGACTCGGGAATCCAGTGTCATCTCACTTGGTAGTCTGAGAGTCGTACCAAAGACGAGTTCGGCGGAGCAACATTCAATATCCTCTGACTGTATTACGGATACCGAGAAAAACGGCTGGAATGCGCTCAGACCAACGTGCGTCAGGTGAACTGGCTGTGATGGTGGCTTTTAGCTGTCGATGAAAACCTTCGACAAGACTATTTGCAGCGGGAGGATAAGCGGCGGATGTGAGGACAACCCAGTAAGCGATTTAAGTCACGGAACAACGTGGAGTCGAACACGTACAGTAGGCGGCTGTTGACTTGGCCAGCGACAGCCGTCACCATCACTGGTTGGCTTCGGCGTTTTCCGTTTGCGAAATCGATGATGATTTCAGGAATTTGCAACCCGCAAGAGTTGCGTGCTGCCTTACCAAAATGACCGTGGAAGTAGCAGGATGACTGTCGCTGTCGTGAACGTGATCTGCTGGGATGTGGGCTTCGAGTGGAACTTCTTCGAGCAGTAGCGCAGTCACGTCTAATAGCAGACATACTGAATTCCAAACTGGAAAGTCTGTCGTTACTCTTATCAAGCGTGGTGCTAAAGGATGGGCTGGCTGTAGCATATTCTGTTAAATGATGTACAGTATTTTTAAAGAAACATTCATGCACCTTGTCAGTAGCTTCTGCGAGCTTTTCCAATGCACGATCTTCGCCAAGGACTGAAAGAATGGCGGTGATGTTAGCTGGAAGACATTTCGTTTAAAGTTGGCGGACTATGGAGTCGTTAAGCTTCGATGAGCCAACTAGGGAACGCATATGTCGCAAAAGTTGGGATGGAGGGTGGTCAGCAAGCTCGACACCGACAAGTAACTGCTGCAGACGCGCTTCATCAGATGCTGTGGTACGTTTTAGGATCGCTGCCTTAAGCCTATTATACGGCGCTTCTGGAGGCATGGGATCAATAACATCGACGACTTCAAAGGCAATAGAGACAGGTAAACGTGAAATGACGTAGGAAAGCATGCTTGCCTGCAAATTAATTTTACGACACTGAAAAGGGGCTTCTACTTGAATAAACCATATGCGTGGATTGGAAACGTCAAAAGCAAGAAGCGAAAATTCGACAGAATTGTCAAAATATCACACGTAGCTTGGTTAGACATGATGGTGAAAAATGAGCGTTCGTAATAAGGGAGGTCACCAATTTATGTAGTGGTCCATGAAATACGGAAAGGCTTAACTCCCTTAGGGAAAGCAAAAAGCTTAAGGAAATTTTAGCTCAGTCAACTCACAATTAAGTTCCGTCTACAGCGAACGAGATACATGTCGAGGACGCCGAATACAGTGGAAGCAGACGTTAAATTGTAATTCCACAGCAAATATTTGGCTTTCAAGCAGACACGAAGGCAACGTTCACAAGTAGCAGCAGCACAGCCGGAAATCAGCACGACCGACGCGCGGATTTCAAAAAGGTATATTCGAGTGGTTTTTCCTCAATTCAAACAAACTATACCAAAGGTGTGATGAAAATGACTACGCGAAATAGAAAATGTAGGCGATAATAACCACTACAGCCCCGCCTGCCAATTTGCCTTGGATAGATATACCACACTGTGGAGATTGAAACGGATTGTTTATACTCCGAGATACTGTTTTTTAAAGCTTCTATAGAAACCGAACGGGAGCGTCAATGACTTAATTGCACACATCCACCAGTCCATCCCCACGTGTAAGTACAATGAAATTCCGCCCGAAAGTTTCAAGAAGAAATGAGAACACCGTGCTGAATTGCGGGGATTCGGGGCGAAATCGCACGGGAAAACTTGTTGTCTTTCAACGCGTCAGATACCATGCAAGTGAAATCAAAGTTGCGTATGGGTAACCAGTTGTGTGGTTGGGTTGCGACACGCAACCTCTATTGAGACCTCGGTTCACTTTGAGGTAGACATCGGTCATTCCGATCTCAAGGACCGTATCTGTAATGGAAATATTTCGCTGGTGTGCCAATGTTGGAAGGATCAACACCGAAATATTTCCATGTGGGTGAACGTTTGTCTAATCATTCGCTGAAAGGAGAAAATCTCGCACCAACTACGTGCATTCACTGGCCATCCAGTCGTCGATGCTGTTCACACAGTTGCTTAACCACAGACTTCAGGTGAACTTCGAGTACACTTTGTGTGCTTGGCTCGAGACTTTATAGGACATGGCTCGCAGTCAGCACCAATGGCGCATCTGCTGCCGTCTCCTAGTCGGACTGTCTGTTTAAAGTATGTTTCATATTGAGTTATTTGCGGGGTAGTGGCTTATTGTGACGCGGGGCAGGGAAATCCTCAAGGAAGCTGCATCGCTGATGCCACGTTATCTGGGCACAATAGCCAGTTGTTTGTAATATTATGTTGTTAACACAAGGTGTAGCCGCCTTGACCCTGAATGTTTGCTTAGGGCATTACATTTTTCCGGTAAATCCCCTTCTGTCCCTCTTCCTATTCTTTATTCCATAGTTCATCATGGTTGTATTTCAGCGAAGCATCAACTCCAATAGCTGATGTACTGTTGTTGTTGCTTTTGTTGTTGTTGTTGTTGTTGTTGTTGTTATCTTTTCTGTCACTTGACTACTCAAATGTTATTGAGTCACGCATTAGTTGGCAGATTGATTCAGGGGTACTGTTTCTGTCATTTTTACATTAAATTCTATTCTACACGTTTTCACTTGTGATATTTTTGCTGTTTATCCTTGTCCACATCGGGTTTATTCTGAACGAATATTTACCCCTCCATGGTTGTATGAAGCAAGTGCTTGACTTGGATTGATAGGGAAACATTAGTAAATCTCGTTGCTCCAGGTACAACTGGAAAGCGGACAACAGACGTCACGGAATATTTTCCCTCGATTAACTATTCAGTCATACATCTGCACCACCGTTTATGCTTAACCTTCAAATCACCCTTACTAAAGTTACTTGGATGCACCATATTCCACTCTTTCTGCTCCGTAAAAGCACCTGGCATGTTCTATTTAATCAACTGAACTGAAACGCGCACCTTGTTCTGTACGCACGGGTACTGAACACAGTTCGCTCCAAGCGCCATACAAACCGTCGAGTGATTCACTCGGTCTGACGAAGCTTTTGCTTCAAAAGTTAAACGTTGCCCAAACATTTTTCAGGATGTTGAAAGTTGGATCGTGCTTCTTTACAACAGTTCTTTACAACGGTTGTTCATTATTAAAGAGTGCCCTTAGAGTCTCATAGTCGAGCCACATCAAACACTCACAGTCGAATATGCGAGTGTATAGCGAATTTTGAACCATATTGGAAGGTTTCCTTGATTCGATCGGACGCACTCTCTAGACTACTATTCCATCTGCATTATTTCCTCAGACCTGTCCACTGGCCAATCCCTCAATGGCTTACTGTTGACGGGCGTTAAGCATGAATATGCTGTTCACCAATAGATGCATCTATTTGAGTTGTTTGTGGCTTATATTTTTCAAAGCTCTTACATTGGACACCGTTCTGCACTCCTCGGCAGCAATAACAAGCTCCTCCATTGTTGATTTACCATTATGAAGCCACAAGTCATTGGGGACGAAATTTCTAATAAGAGGAGTGGAGCGGACTTGAATCCATTAAAGCTATGGACCGATACGTCTTACGAACGCCATGGGGTCCTGACTGGGCCGTTTTTACGTTAGTACAAAAATTGACGCCTAACCACACTTGGCTACTTAGCGGTTGTCGTCAACTTGTCCATTTCTCATTTGTCTTATTCTCTCGTGGAGTATGTGCGCGGTGCATACTTGTTTTTGACTAACTTATGGTGACGTCCCATCTGAAATGTCACTGTGACTTCCCATCATCCCCGTCCGTTCATCCTTATGTTGGGGAGTTGTAGAATACAAACAGAGTCGTCGCACTGAAGTGGACAAGAGTTGCGGTATATTTATCTGTCTGTCTGAATCGGCACACGAACTGTCTGGCGATACCCAACGATGAGGTACTCTCACCATTAAGCCGTCCGACTTCTTTGTCGCATTCTTACTCATGAGCCCAAATAACGGGACTCTTAGAACAACATTTGACAGTAATTCCGAGGAGCCGTAGGTTGCTGTTTTGCGGCATCGTCTCTTATTCGTGGAACGATTCTACTGTTGGTTGTCGGCTCTCAGCATTAAACTGAGGGTGATGCCCGCTTTGTGTAGATACCTTCTTGTATTTTTATTCACCATAAATTTTCCCTTCGTCAGGAACACGAAGTCGGAAAAGCAATCGCTAGCTACAAAATGGCTTATTTTTTACGGATTGATACACTTTAATAATATCACTTTTGTTGTGGTCACACTGACTTCAGTTTGTTTCTGTACCTTCGACCGGAGTGCTGTCCAACGCGGCTGAAGTTGCACCGGATGGGTCACTTGCATTGCGTTTCAGTTCTGTGTTCTCTTTCTCAAGCATTTCAACTTTTTTGCGCAACTCAGCTAACTCCACTCTCATAGCCTCGACTTCAGCGGTATCTGGACAATCTGTTCGCATGTGCTTTCTGATAAACCTGTGAGAAGAAACAAAAGAGCTTCGGCTTTAACAGCTATAATTTTATGTTTATTTTCGTCGTTTCCAACAGGCTATTGATAAAGCATTAACTTCGTATGGTGGCGATCAGATGCCACCATGTCCCCACTAAGCGAGCTTATCAATACTTTGTTTGCGTGAAACATCACACCAGATATGACTAAGTGTCTTCTTTGACGTAGGCAGCTACTTGTCGAACTCTTATAACTGTCACCATAGCAAAGGAATTCATGACATCTAAACTAATAGCCACTGGGCAACTGACTATATGGCTCTCTTTTCATTACTGAATTTTCCATATTGAACAATCCCTCCTGCTCTGAATCGAACTTGCCGCCCTTCTGTTATGTGACAGCAGTTGTTACCACTGAGCCACGAGATGCATTGGAATCGGGTGTGCCTCAATCCTCTGGCTCTATACAGTCGAATTCATCATCACCAGTGTACGCCTGACTGCCTTGCACAGAGTAAGGCTGAAATCGATAACAATCACTTTCGGCTTCAATCCACCATGCCTCGTGGCGTTGCTGTAATAATCTCTGACCTGTTGAGGCGATTCGCGAATTTCATCATTCACCTGGGCAGCTGTATTGCGCATCACCGACAAGCTTTTAATCACTTAGGCATATTCCACGGGCTGTGTGGTTACGCTAACTTGCTTCTCCTCATTCAAATTGTTTGTTGCAATAGAGTTTCGGTTCGTAGACGTTACTTGGCGATATTTGTTATCTATTAGTTACACATGAAAAACGTGAAGGTTTTTCGCAACGACCATACGTTAAATTCGTTAACGAAAGACTTAAGAAAGAGGAGTGACGTGATCGCAACCTATACGTTCTGGTTATTATTAGATTATTAATATTATTATTTTTATTAGACTCGACATCTTACAAGTACATTCTACACGGAAACTCGTGACACACACGAGCGTATCCGAAGATGTTTATGAAGTGTGATAGCTCCGTTAAAAGTCTGTCGTGGAGTAACAAATAAGTTATGGATTAACTTTCTGTTTTCTAAGCGGAGATTCAATCATCCTAATGACTCACTCCAGAGCATTTTCAGGTTTTTCGGGCTCTTCATATAGTCCGACTAGCACTGTAACAGTAGAAAAAGCGGTGCCATTAGAAGCGCATTTAGAGGTAAAACTACTGCTAGGTCCCACAAGTTTCTTCACTTTGTTCCCCATTAGTCAAGTCACCTTCCAGCTAACTGTTGTACGGCGGCGAAACTTACATAATGTAACGGTGTGTTACGGCTTTCATGGTGGTCTTTCCTGATGTGTGAAGCTTCTTTTTCGCCAGTTTCTCGGACGCATCTGTGACGGAGATATTTTTGCCCTTGTCTTCACAGCGCAGGTCAAATAAACCAATGGGAATTCTAGGAATTTCTTCTATTTAATGTATCAACCATCATACATTCGTCGTATGTTCGCGGCTTTCCGGTTGCGCGGCAGCTTCTGACGCAAGCCTTAACTCTTTACATCCACAACCATTGATGATGGAAGGGGAACTAACTAATTAAAACTCGTTTGTGATATCAGGAGCGTGGAAAAAATGTCCATATTTTTGGGTTATATATAAATCAGGGGAAATGCTTCACATTTCCACCACTGGGTACAATTCCGAACCATATCCGCGTTTCCAACTGGGTGTGCGCACCATCCTTTGGCTCCCAACCAGGGAGTCTGGAACGCCCCTATGTTGCCAACGGCAATGTCAGCGCCCTGATGTATGTAGGCATTTGTTTATCTCTTATTTGCGAGCATTTCGAGCAGTGTAAGTCTGTATAACACGAAAGTGATTTTTTCTTCCACTTTTTCGACCTCTTCAGACTTATCAACTGAGTACTCGAACAAGAAGTCTGCTACACTTATGGCAGTCCGGAGATTTTCCCGGCTTGCCTACGTAAAATTCAAACAAACTACTATTTCATTGCACACAGACGATCGGTGCAAACTGTTGAACTGCATGTTGGATTCCATTGTTTGAGTTGAGCACTGCCATCTTGCTTAGCGCTCGTTCGGTTCGCAAATTGTGACTGCTTGTGTGTTGCGCATTTTTGTTCATCTATCATCCATCGGTGTCGTTTTTTATAGCTATTCCAACAAGGAATATTTTACTGTAAAAAAACAAATGCTTCTCTTCACTTAATCCGCTTCATGGGACAGCTATATGAACCCCCACTAAATACCGATGCACCACATACACTGTCGTGGACTCAAAAGGATTGAGCCACGAACTAAGACACCTAAAGTTTCGTATGACCCATACCCTCGTGTTTTGTTTATAAGCGGACCGTTGCATCAATATTTTGTTGAGATGCCGAGAGCGACGAGGTAACCAGAGACGCGCACGTCGCGACCTCCTACGATTGGACTCCCGATTCAGGCCACTGCTTTAAGGTAAACCGAATTTGCTTGAAGACTGTTTGATTTTCTCAGTCAATAGGACAGTACGCTTCTGATGAAGCTTTTGTACTTAATTTCTATCTCCAACCGCTCAAACAACCGCATTTTATACCTATCTGGTAGGTAACACACCCCTCACCCAAGTATCGTAAATGGGTTATCAATTTGCGTTCTCTACTACTTCCGATGCGCTATTTGTAGCAAAAGGAGTCTTAGTCAAGTGATTCCTCAGGCGCTATTGAATCTACGAAGACACGTCAAACAATCTTCTTAGCATTTGTGTTCGTTCCTATCACAATGATAGTTCGTTGGTCCTTGAAATCTACACTTTCCATTAATTAAACCATGTCTTCTGTGTTATGTATTCTGTCAGCATGCTTGATGGCTAGACACATACACACAAACCCAGACACACACACAAAGCGCCCAATTCTCTCCTTCCCTACTGGTTCATTCTTCTCCTTGCGACACCTTATTGTAATCACGTAGTTAGACACTTATTAGATTATAGTAGTTCGTTTACCGGAGCGACCTCCTTACTTCGGTTCGTCCATTTGACTTTCGTACACAACATTCTGCATCGTAGCATACATTACATAAACTGAGTTTACTGTTCATCAAAATTAGATGACTACCGTCTAATTTCATTGAGTTTGGCAGGCTACTAAGAATTCACCTACTGTCACTTGATGTCTCTTCTTTCATAAGTGAACATACGGTGAAGAGTTAGGCTTGACTTTAAACGTAGACTTTGATAACGCCGCATCTACTGACTGCAACACCCTTACACATTTTGCACATTTGCCTAGGGAGTCCAACTCATTCACACGCTGTATGATTCTTTTAGTCAGCATATGAGTGCATCATCGATAGATCCAATCACCATGGTCGGCGTTTCCATGCTTATAATAGCCTTAAGGACAGTGTGTTAAGGAGAAACGGACATTGCAAACGAAAGTAAGTAGAACGGCCATGTGAAAAGTTGACCAATGCACAGCAGTTCCATCTTAGTCTGATCTCTGAATAGGGTTATTAACAAACCCTTGTCTCCCACCCAATGAGATGTTACGCGTTGCACTGAACCATACCTATAATTATTTTGTTCATTTTTTTCGCCTGGGACAGGGATTGGGTATTTGGAGTCAGTGAATCTTGTAGTATGTAAAATAAGTATATCGACTTCGGGCGCGAGCTGGATTTTAGTCTGCAGACAGATAGGTAAGCTATCATGAAGCATAAGCATCAAGTTACATAGATTCGTTTCGTTACCTTGATATATTTTTCATTGCGACAAAAAGTATATCGGTGGCACACTAAGGAAGACCACCTAATCTGTTATCTACCGCACGTGTGGAAGCATTTGAATAAATTCCCTACTCTCATCCATACTCATATGACACAGGTCAAACTATGGTTGTGCGGTTTAGAGGTCCATTCTGGAATTGGGGTTGAGGACACGTCATGACTATTAATTATTCCTGCTTATCTGCTCCAGCTGTTCTCGTACCCTCGTTGTTTATGGGTAGTGGTTAGACCTCTAGCAAATAGTTGGCCCACTCATTTGGCCGATTATGGTAAAGCGAATTTCTCCGATAAACTGGTAAAAATGAATCATTATGGTGGCATTCAAGAAAAGCAGATACAATTATTTTTGTCTGACTCATGGGTTTCCGCTTTCCGCCTGGCACTTTCGATACAGAATATCACTATAGTCCATAACTATATCAGTAGTCATCTCGTCAGCTGGAACTAAAGTCGATGATTACTACTTCGTCATCACACTTTCCTCGCCTGAAGTTCATACAATCTACGCTGCACTTACTCTGGACTTTACAGAATATGGTTCCCAGCCAACATCAGTATCGCGATTGTGGTCATTTAATGGGATTGCCTTTCTGAAGTTTACCTGATACTCACTTTTCCGTGAAGCGACGCTTATTGTGGTGCAAGGCTGTGAAAACCTGCACGAAGCTATCTCGTAGAGTCTCCTTAGTTCCGCGCGATTGTCTACTGTTTATGACCGAGTGCTGTTAACGCGGTCTGGGTGTCTTATCTTGAACCATTACTTTTTATGTTTAGTTTTTACACTAGGTTCATTTTTGGCCCCTTATTAACTCTACTTACTAGGGCTATAATTTGTGGATGGTAATGAAGGGTCTATTTAAATTATTGAAGTGCAGCTGTTTTCTTGTTGATGGTGGTGATTTCCGGTGCTAGTGTTAGGTAAATTACGAAATGGCTTTTATCTCTATTCACTCCATCAATATAATAGACGCAGTTATGTAGAAGATGATATCGTGTCCAAAAGCCTTATTATTCACTAGCAGCTATCTAATTCCCTCACTACTGAAATAGGTAGCGGTGAGCAATACTGAGTTTACCTAACCGCTTTACCATGACAAGTGCTGTAAATGCATTAAAGCTACAACATGCAGTCTGCTTTTGCATTAAAAATGATTACTTCGATAGCACACTCTCGTTACGTTAACTGAATGATCTGATGCGGCTATTTATAGAAGTCGATCGATCCGCCACCACCAGTTCACTTTAGTGGCGTCGGATAACGTATCAGGTCCTCCATGCATATGTACTTTAAGTTTCGTGGCTGTTACATATATGCAAACGTTGCAGGGTTCTGTCTTGGCCAAGCACAAGACATTTTGAAGGATTTAGTCTGACCCCAGAAGGAGCACCACATTCTAGCATTGTTTGACAGTCTATCATTCGCTTCGGAGTTCCAAAAGCCAATGGACTACAGTTACTTACCGTCGTTATGGCATTGTGCTAACGTGGAATCATGGATAATTTGATACATTCTCTTCTTAAGCATGACACGTAACTTATCAAGTCTTTATGAAAAAGTACTCTTATTCCAAAGGCAGTTATGCATACTTATTTCAATAGTGTAAACTTGCCTCTCGTCAGTGTGTCTAAGACACCTGATTTTTCCAAATATTTGCGGAACTCTTCACGTTTTGAATCCCCAGGCTAATGGTTAAATATTGTGTTGTAATTTTATAACGTACTCTGTAGCTCGACATTCTGTATGCAACATGCAATGGCCCGAGTTGGAGTTGTTACGGTTCCGATGAGCTAAAAATAGTGGGAAATGTGTATCAAAGAGTGAAAGTAAATCGGTTGAGCACAGCACAGGTGGATGGTGGGAACACAGACCACGTGTGTAATAGTGTATTAACAGAAGTGAAACAACATGCAGTTTTAGAATAGTAAGAGCAGTCAATGTTTGGCGGGGTAACCCGAATTCCCTTTGTTGTGCGTATTCTATGTCAGTCACTTACGGCAGCATTAAACGAATGCCAGCGACAATGGACAAACACGGCTAATTTGTTACACTCTGTAACAGTCTGCGTCGCCGCCACCATTGACAGAACTTACGCCATATCAGGACAAGGTTAATCTGGTCACGGGATCAATTTGTTTGCATAGACCGAACGTCGACCACCGGGTAACGTAGACTTCAGAAAACCGGAGCCGTCTTGACATACCTTGTCTACCATTAACTTTAACTGGTTCACGAATGTGTTGCACATAGTGTTTTGGCTGGAGTGATCGGCTCATCCTAATAAACTTGCCGTATTTGTTTGGCTACTTGCGAGTACCGTCCCGGTTGTCGGGGTGCAGGCACGGAAGTGACTGGACTCGTATTTGTTGCTGGGGTGTATGATTGTCCCGTGTACTTGCTAATAACATAACACCTGTACGCCGTTTACCCTCTAGGAGAAATTGCCTGCATAACGCACGACGGAACAGCTTGGTTGGTATAACCGTGGCGTCGTTTGTTTGTGGTGCTCATAACTCCGACAAATGTTGAATATACACTTAACGTTCTGCGTCGGTCACTTAGGTGTACAATTAGATTATAGTAGTGTGAATTTCCCATAACATAATCAAATGAACTGGGAGGCTTACAGACCTCAGCGGTGCAATTGGGACAATGGCATAGTACACGCAAAATGGTAGATGCTTAGCAAGTCCCGTAGGAGGGTCAGAATGAGAACCACAACATGGTGAATAGAAAACAGTGATAAAATGAAAGTTGTTTTTGTGGACTAACCGCAGTGTTAACACAGAGTCATGCAGAAGGGGTCAACTTCAATCGTAGAGGTTAATTCTGGTTGTGCAACTTTCGTCGCATTATGTCGTCTATCGAGACACACAGGCTATATCTCGTAACGTAGCTGGTTTAAGGCAACACCAAGGCGTTTTTTAAACACAGGTAGATTGGGGCCGATACAACGTAATCTGGGAGGGCGCTCCATGGCTGGCACACACGAAGAGAGTAAAAGTTCTGTCGACGTTCTAGCTGACTGTATTGCGTGTCCAACTTGAACTGGTGGCCCCTCAAATTCGTGTTGTGGCTGAGTTGTAGTAGGTGGTGGCAGACATGATTATGGTTCCTTCGAATCTGGTAGGTCATAATAAGGTCGGCACATAGGCATAGGGTCCTCAGTTTAAGTCGATAAGAAAGATTGTACAACCGTTTGACCTGTTTCGTGGCTGGTCGCTGTGGAGTCTCCAGACCTGCAAGCTCGTGCTTGCGCCAGGGCTGTCGGGTCTGGTTTGCGTATTCCACATGTGGCCGCATCTAGGTGTTAAGCAACTGGAAACAGACTGAGGGATCAAACCGCTCGAATGCCCTCCGCAGCATGCCAACATGTTGGTTCCTGGTCTTTGATGCTTTCTCAGATTATTCAGACACCGAGCGACCATACTGGCAGGCAACTTAGGACCACGTAGGACACGCTGCATGATTCTGGTCGCCCTGTAGTCGATAGGATTACGCGCCTATCTTATAATCCGGAGGTCACCATTTCGAATCGACCTAGGTTTTGGCGGCCTCGCGTGATTGACGGTGGTTACGTGGCAGCAAAACTTCCGTACCGTGTGCTTGCGTACTGCTAGCGCCTTTCTTTTTGATCGACATATCTTCCCGAGCAACATACGGCTCACCGCAGCTACGGTTGCATTTGTAAACTTATGAAGCGGAAGCTTGGGAGATAGGTTTATCTAATTTGAATTCGTTAAGCAACCTGCTGATCCGGCGAAACGGTACTTATTTATTTGCAAAATAGCATCACTTTGTATGTTTGGCCTAGACGATGGCAGAACCTATCATCTGTTTTCTACTTTGGATGAAAGTGTTATTTTTTGTTGACATTGGGCTGTTTCCATTTCAGATCAGGTTTTGTTCCCAGAAAGATATAAAAGAAAATGAAATCCGGCAGCAGTACGCCGGTACGCAGTACCGACGCTACGCTGCTACGCAATCACCACCAATCGGAAGTGGGCTAAGGATACTGCGAAGGTCGCACGGTCCCTATTCAGGTTCGAACCCGCGCCATCGGATTACAAGGCAGTCTTGTGCTCCTTAAGGCCACGGGCCGGGCAGAAAGATATAGGCTTTCGCCTGACCAGCGTTCTTATTTTTGCACAGCTAAACAAACCATTTGTTCGCATACTTTGGGGTGTAAATGGAAGAAGAGTAGGGATGGCCAAGCGATGACTTTGTCGAGAGGAATGAAGACCCTCACTCCTAAGCTGGCCTCGGTTGGAGCGTCTCGGCTCCTTGGTTGGGGTCCGAAAGATGATGAACACGTTTGGCTGGATACACTTGCTGTTATGGCTAGGAGCCGACCTCAGTGTCGTTCCAGCTGTGAGTTTCCGTCGCACCTCATCCCTCTTAGTCTCATCCACCAACCACAATCTCACTATTTAGCCTTATATAATTTTGCATAGCAATTTTTTGCTGCATAGTAGCCAGCTGCTAGCTTACCGGAACAATGCCTATCCGTTACCGGTAGCTCAGTTGGCTTGCATCTGATGCATTTTCTCCCCTCTTTGTTTTATCTATTTCGGCACAGTAGCTGTGGCGTTTCCCAACCCTAGCTAAGGTGTATAATGAATATGATGATGCACCCAATTCTTAAGTACAGATTGCCAAAATCTTATCCTCTGACGGAGCTTGAATGCGCTCTGATACAGTAAATTCAGCGGCAAAGATGAAAATCCGTCTCAACGTTTCGGAACCTGACTTACTCTCATAGACTCCGAAGGTGGACCTGTTAACAAACTCAGTCCTTCAGTAATAAGCGTTTATTCAGCAAAGGCAGCTCAGCAAAAATTACAGCATGTTTAGCAAGCCAAGCTCCTCGATATAAATTGTGGGTTCAAGTCCATAACTAACGACCCTTCTAGGTCGATGAGGTTCCTCCTTTGCTTAAGTTGAACAAACGGTGAATCACTTCCGCGAAGATCGGTCAAACCGAGTCCAGTAATCGAATCCGTCTCGCCCGCCTCCCATTGGCGGTCTGGCTTGCTCGCTTGCTCCATCTGCCCAATCTGTACTGACACTACTATCATATCCTCCATTTTTTCGTGTTCTTGCGTCTCCATATTGCTATCCACTGCATACATCTTGCCATTCCGCGTCGTCTTCGCCGTATCTGAGGCCGTGGTCTCCTTGCCCCACACCAACTGCCACTCCACTCCTAATCCACATTTTTGTCTCCGGTGTCGTCTCAAATACACTCGGTTTCTGAACGTTTTCCCTCCAACTTTTATTTCGTATGACCTGGCAACGACCCTAGCAGTCACCACACCTTCCACCGCTCTTGAATATCGGGTAATGGTTGAACCCACAATTCCTCCTCCACTGTTAGCTCAGGTGGTACCCGTGCGCCGCGGTCACAGTACCGTTTCTGAGTGGTCATTCGTCGTCTCAGATTGTTCTTTAATCGTTCGTGCTGTGGTGAAATTGGCCGCTGTATAGGCCCTGCACTGAGCGCAAACCGATATTCCTTGAGGGAGTTTTGCGATTCTCCGGTAGTATGAGGTACTGGTCCTCGCCAGTTGCTCTAGCCTTTGATGACAGTCGCTTGGCCTGCTTCAATGCTGACTCTGCCTTTTCATTCGATTGACTGTGATATGGGCTGGTTTGCTGGTGCACGAATTCCCACTTGGTTGCGAACGCCTGGAACACACCACTGGTAAACTGGGGCCCATTGTCGGAGACCAGCTCCTCCGGTATACCGTGCCGCGCGAACTGACATCTGAGCTTGTTAATTACCGCCTCTGGTCATAGTGGTGAGTAGATCGATTTAAAAATAATCGCTATAGGAATCCATCATGAGTAAGTAATCTTTCTCATTATTACTGAAGAAATCCACCGCCACGTTCCGCCACGGTCTGTCAGGGACATAATGCAGCATTATTGGTTCCCTTATCTGCCGGATTTCGTGTGAACGGCACGGCTCATAATTCGATACATGATCTTTTATTTGACTCGTCATTCCTGGCCCAAAGATCTATTCTCTTGCTCGGTTAATGGTGTAGTTGGCACTCAAATGAGCGCGATGAACGTATTTCAGCATTTCCTTTCACAGCGATCACGGAATTAGAATACGGTCGAATCAAAATACGACTTCCTTTGAACAGCAAACCATCATAGACAGAGAGTTCATCCCGAAAATTGAAGTAGGGTATTAGTTCCTTCGGCAGCTACTTCTGGCTCTGGCCACTCATTTAGAATAACGTCTCACATAGCTGAAAGCATTGCATCTTCCTCTGTGTGGTGCCTTCTTTCCTTTAGGCGATCTTCTGTCACTGTCAGGTGATGTACTAAGTTTACTGCTTCGACCTGTTCCGTATTATACTCGGGTACCGGCAGATGAGCTCTTGGCAGTCTATCCGCGATGAACATCTGTGCACCAGGCGTATACATAATATCTACGTCGAACTTTTGAAGCCGGATAAGCATATGCTGAAGACGACGAGGAGCGACGTGCAGCGGTTTCCTGCTTATTGGCACAAGCGGTTTGTGGTCGGTGTACAACGTTGTCTTCTTTCCGAAAGTATAAGCGTTGAAACGCGCCATGGCATAGATTGCCGCAGACATCTCCTCAATCTGCGCATAGCGCTCCTCGGTCACGGTGAGTGCTCAACTGCGGAAATCCAAAGGTTTTTCATTCTGTAAGCGAACAGCACCTATTTCGTCTCGGCTACTATCACGTTGTACCTCCAAAGACTGCGCTGGATGGTAAGACCCTAGTACAGGTGCGTTGCTGATGAGGTCCT